ACAGTCTCAAACCCACAGGGGCAGTTCAACCCTGTCCTATGGGGTCGCTATGAGTCGGCATCAACTCAATGGCCTTGAGTTTGGTTTTGGTGCTCAACGAGTCTAGCTGGTGGGCAGGCAGAGAAGGGCAGCGCTGGGCCCTCCCGAGTACCCCTGACGAGTGTGTGTGTGTGTGTGTGTGTGTGTGTGTGTGTGTGTGTGTGTGTGTTGCTAGAAGCACGCCCCCACCCCATGGCCAGGCCTCCACAACACTCAGCCAGGCTGCCCCAGGCAGCGAGTGACTTCAGACTTTATTTGAGAAAAAACGGAAGGTACACGTATCAAAAGAGTAGATGGGTGGGCAGAGACGGCTAGTGGCAGCTCCTGGAGGTCGAGACGGGGGTGGGCGGGCAGGGTGATGACCTTTACTTGGCTCCAGGCTGCTCTGACTTCTCTGCTTCCGGGCCCCGCAGCTGGGCGCGCGACTCGAAGGTGACCGGGATGGTGACTTCGGCCGACTGGATGGCTGGCTTGGGCATCGGGGCCTCCACGGTGAGGGTGCCCTCAGGGGACAGGGAGGAGGAGACCAGGGTGGGGTCCACACCCGGGGGCAGCCTGGACGAGCAGAGAGCAGGAGGGCAGGCGTGACGGAGTGACCCATGGTGGGCCCTGCGTCCTCCCCCACCCTGGCCCCCGGCCCTGCCGCCGCAGGACTCACGTGTATTTCCGGGTGAAGCACCGAGAGATGAAGCCGTGCTCGTCTTGCCGTTCTTCATGCTTGCCTAGGGGGGGGAGGGGGATAGGAAGGGACGGTCAGCCGCTGTGGGGGCCAGCCGCCTGCTCCTGAGTGACGGCGGGGGTCGGGGCCCCCTCTCCCAGACCCTTGGAGACTCTAGGAAATTCCCGCAGGGTCTTGGACAGAGGCAGGGCCAGGGGCGTGGTGCACCTGCGCACCTGCGTGTCGTCCCCCCCACCCCAGGCCAGGGCCAGGGGGCGGTCCTCTCTCCTTGGGGCGAGGGTGGGGCACAGGAAGGTCTCCCTCGTTTGGGGGTGGGGAGGGGAGGGTCTCCCCTAACTCGGGCCGGGGCTGAAGATCTCTTCCCTTCCTTCCGCCCCGCCAGCCCCCCCACCCTCGAGCCCCGGGCCCTCACCGGAGATCTCCACCACGCCGTCCTTGGTCTTGACCGTCAGCTCCTCGGGGGCGAAGTGGTTGACGTCCAGGGACACCCGCCAGCGGTCGGCCGTGTGGCGGATCTCCGAGACGCCGCTGCTGAGCTGCTGGCTGAGGGCGCGGCCGTAGGCAGGCGCGGCCACGGCCACCGGCGCAGCGCCCTCGAGCGGGGCCGCGGGCAGCGGCCGCACGTAGCCGGGCCAGCTGCTGTGGCCGAGCCACTGCGAACACTCCTCGGGCAGCCGGGGCATCCCGAAGGCCTGGTCGAAGAGGCGGCTGTGCGCCGGGTACCAGTCGCGGAAGGGGTCCCAGCTGGGGCTGCGCAGCAGCGAGAAGGGCACGCGGCGCTCCGTCATGCTGGCCAGCAAGTGGACGAGTGGGCGAGTGCGGTGACCAGGGCGCGGCGAGCGACGAGTGTGCGGCGGCCGAGCCGGCGCGCGCTTTTATGGGTCGCCGCCCGGGTATTTTTAGCAGGCGGCGGGTCAGGTCTCTATTCAAGGCCATGACGGGCTGGGGTGCTGTCCCTCCCCTTGCATTCCTCCAGCGGGGGCGGGGCAGGGGCCAGGCGCGGAATGCCCTGCCCACGTCCGTCGGTCTGGAACCTTCTCTCGTTAAAGACAACAAATGGCTGAGCACCCAAGCTGGCGGGGGTGGGGGTGGGGGGCCCAAGCGCTGGGCGGCGACCGCAGGACAGCCTCACCCGATGTTCAGGAGGGCCCAGGCCCCCCAGGCTGGGTTCCCTATGGGGCCACACCACTAACCAGTGGCACCGGCAAAATGTGAACCGAAGCTGGTGTGGACTCTGGTTCTGCCTGAACTGCAAGGTCAGCAGTTTTAAACCACCAGCCGTTCTGCGAGAGAAAAACGGGGCTCTCTACTCCCATAGTTACAGTCTCAGAAACTCACAGGGGCAGTTCTACCCTGTCCTCTAGGGCCACCCTCGACTGGATGCAGTGAACTTATTTTGGCTTGTTTTGGTGGGGTGGGGTTTTTTTGGCACTAGTCTTCTGCCCTGAATCCAATCAATGGGTGTGAGTCAGACTCTGGGGCATGTAGATGATGCACCATACCTTAATAAGGGAAGAGGGGGACAGAAAGAGGAGCTGATACCAAGGGCTCAAGTAGAGAGAAAATGTTTTGAGAATGATGATGGCAACCAATGTACAAATGTGCTTGACACAATGGATGGAGGGATTGTGATAAGAGTTGTATGAGCCCCCAATAACATGATTTTTTTAAAAAGAGAATGCAAAAAAATTAAAAATTAAAGAGAATGCTTATATTAGTGGATTGGCGGAAGGATTCAGTGGCTTAATGCAGAAAAAGACTTTAGCCCCAGGCCTGGTATGGAATGATAAACCCAAAGAGAAACAAACCCTATTGCCACCACTGGGTTCTGGAGGACAAAATAGAAGTTCTAAATGGGTTTCCCAGGCTGTCCATTTCCAGGGGAACAGATCCTGCAGCCCTCTAAGTGGCCAGTGGTTTCGAACTACTCACCTTGTGGTTAGCATCCCTGTATGATCATCATCATCATCATCTGCAGTGTGGAATGGGGAAAAGGGAAAAGGACAGAGGCTGTGTACAAATCTCTGTTGTTGTTGTTGTTGTTGTTGTTGTTATAAGGTGCCCTCTGAGTGGGTTCCGAGCCATCCCAACAGAACAAAACACTGCCCAGGCCTGGGCGGTCCTCCCAAGTGTGCTGATGTTTGAGCCGGTCGATGCCGTCACCGCACCAATCCATCTCGTGGAGTGCCTTCCTCGTCGTTTCCTCTGCTCCCTACGTCACCAAGCACGATGCCCTATCCAGGGGACTGCTGTCTCCTGACATGTCCAAAGTCCGTGAGATGAGGTCCCACCATCCTTGCCTCTAAGGAACATCTTGTCTGTACTTTGAATAGCTGTACCCCTATAAACCTCAAACACTGTTGGGGAGAGGGCACTGTGCGTTTGGCATTCTCCGCTGGCCCCATAACAGGGCTGCCCAGTTTGCTCTTCGAGAGCCAGTGCAGGGAGGCCTATCTTTCTAGCCCAGCTGCCCCCCTTCAGGGTCTGCAGGAGGGGCACTGACCACAGGGCATCTGGTTAGATGGTGGACACACTTCGCTTCATCTTCATCACCCCTCTATCTGACCACTTATGGGGTCCAGGCCCCTTCATACAAGTCTGGGTTAGGGTGCTACCCCTCCTCGTCTGAGGTCCAGCCTGAATTCCTGCTTCCTTGACTTTGGCCCTGTCACAGCAACTGAGTGACTGGCCCAGCTGTCCTTGGCGAGAGACAAATCCCTTGTCTCCCTGGGACCCAAGACTCTTAATTTGTGGGGGAGTGTTTCTGCCTTGGGGTCCTCAGAGGCTCCTCTCCTTTTGCCAGTTCTACAGGGTGGGACTCCACCAAGGTCCCTGAGGCTGACCAGGCCCAGGCGCCAGCAGGACCTGAGGGGCTGACTCCAGGATTTAAGCAACACATCTGCAGTCCTCTCTGAACCTCAGATGCCTGTCTGTCTGGCCCAGCTGCCCCCTCTCAGGGAAGAGCCAGGCTTGGGCCCCAAACCTGGAAAGGCCTCTGAGCTCCTAGGATCTGGGGGGCCCCGGGTGAGAGGTGAGCAGGACCCCTCTGCTCCATGTCTCTTGCAGGGACTCTCTCATGAACCTGTTGGATTTTCATTGGGAGCACCTGGACATCCCCAAGGGGCCTCATCATTCTCAGCCCCACCCAGCCCCTAGCTCTATAAAATCAAGATGAGGTCAGGAGCCAGGGCCGGCCCTTCTCTGCCCCAGCCTGTCTGCCGCCCCACCCTCCTGGGTTCTGTCAGGTGTGGTCAGGGTGCTGCCTCACCAAACCCAGGTACGCCGGGTGGGGGCAGCCTGCTGGCCGCCAGCCCTCTGTGCACACAGCTCCCTTCATCTTCTTGAAAGCAGGGTCCAAGGCGTGGGGAACTCCACCCTGGCTGCCCTTGCCAGAGGAAGCTGTGCACCCCACTCCGGGGGCTGAGCATTCACCGCCAGCGCCACAGAGTCCGTTCACAATCCTCATGTCAATGTTCATAACACCCAGTAGGTCACATGCTGGCACTCAGCACTGGGCGAGATGGGGTGGAGGCTAAGAAACTGGGTTTTGGGGTCAGGCAGGACTGGGCTTGACTATGGACTCTGGAAAGCTCTCAGGACCCACTCTGCAAAATTGGGGGTGGGGAGACCGGGGGCCCCGTGAAGGAGTCCAGTAAGTGCTCCCAGTAAGGAAAAATCCATACCAAACCCACACACCACCCTTGAGTCAATTCCAACTCAGCCACCCACCCATGCCAGGGTTTTCGAGGGTGTAAGCAGATAGCCTCCGGCTGGTGGGTTGGGCCCGGCCCACCCTGACCTGGTGGTTAGTAGCCACAGGAAGTCCGCTGTGCCACTGGGCTTCTGCTATTAAGGAAGGAGAGGGTCTTTCCTGTTGGATATTTGGACGTAGATGAACTTGTCCAAGGGGTTTCCCAAACTCCATGGAAACGTGGGATACAAAGCTGGATGGACAGTGGCCGTCTCAGGGGCTGAGACCTGATAACTGGGCGCAGCTGGGGCAGCACTGGGCAGCGTTTTCTGCTGGTGAGCCGGGGGTCACTAAGTAGTTCCTAACAACAGGCAACCTGTGTGCTTCACAGCATCCAGGTAGCTTAGCAGAGTTCCACTGCTGAGAGGACAAACCTGAGAGTCGAGTGGGATTAGCCCCTGTGTGAGTCCGGGTACTTTAGAGAAGCAAATCCACAGAAACTCATGCGTAAGAGTTTTATATAAAGATTAAGCGCACATCAAGCAAACATCCCAACCCAGTGCTGCCCAAGCCCACAAGTCCAACATTAACCCATTATCCCATGTGTACAACACCAATCCACAAAGTCCTCCTCCACCTCACAAAACGGACGCAATGATGCCAACTGCAGGAGGAAAGCCGAGTCAGTGAATGCGTAAGCATCTCAGCGCTGGTAGGGGTCTCCACACGGCTGCTCCAGCACCCAGGGCTGCATCATGGTAGGTCCATGTGGCTTCTCCTCAGGGATGTCTTGTAGGAAGTGAGCCTTGCCAGCTAAAGCAGGGAATTGGCTAAAGCATCTGCACCCTGATCCGACCATCAGAAAGCAAGAGACCGGAGAACTCGAAAGGCGAGGCTCACTGAGCCATTTATCCCTCCGTCCTTCAATTAACCCCACATGTGTTTATGGGCCAGGTTGGCACAATAAACTAAATACCTCAATCCACCCCTTGCCAACCTGGCACCTGTACATAATTCTTTAGCTTCAGGATTGCAATTAAGTAACACCTACACCTTAATCCTATAATCCTGTGAATATGTTTCCCCACCTATGAAAGTTTGTAAGCCAACCACTTCATGCCTTTATCCCCCCAATTTTGAGTATCCAAATTAGCCCCCAAGGTGACAGGTGCTAGGAGTGGGGAGGGATTGGAAGTCGGGACCTCTTTGTTCCCCAGCGGAGGGAGTAGTGGGGGAGCTGTGGGTATCCGGGGGCACAGCACAGTTTCCTGGCTCTCTCCCCAGCCTGGCCAAGCCCCCTTCCTTCAGGAGCTTCCATGCCAGCCACACCTGGTGCAGGGCTTGGTGGGCAGAACAAGGGCCACAGATCCACCTCTAATTCCCCACCTGCTCAGGAGTTCTCAGACAAGTGAGCACCTCGAATTCCTGGGTCACTTGGCTGCCAGGGGGGGGACAACTCCCCCCACCCCAGGTCAGAGTCTGTCTGCCTTCTATTGTCTACTGTGTGGGGTTTGGGGATCAGAGGAGCTCCCCCCATCCCTGCATTGTGCCTGCAGCTCTGGGCACGTAGTCACACCCTGGGCAGGCCTTGGCTGACTGCTCTGAGCCCGCCCCTCCATCCCTCCCTTCCTCCCTCTCTGGCTCAGGTTCAGAGAAAGCTCTGGAGTTATGAGAGGATTCAAGCTATCCGAGCTCCCAGGAGAGACCTGACAGCTGAAGATTGCACACCCACATGCCTGCCAGGAACTAGGTGCCCAGTGGGGGGGAGGGGTGGCAGGCACAGGGCCTGTCTGGAAGCTTCTAGACACTGACCCTCTGAGAGTATATTTCCCCAAACCCATCTTGACCTGCCCCACCCTTGGGCTTCTGGCTTGCCTGGGGGGGGGGGGTCATCCCTCCCCAGCAAGGGGCTGAAGCGGACTTGGGGGTGGGGAGCAGATGGAAGGGCTGGGGAGTCTTCCTCCAGCCTCTCTCCCTGGCCCCCTCCAGACTGGGAGTCTAGGGACTTGAGATGTCTCCCTGACCTTGGCTGGGGGCCCACTGCTGTGACTCATTCTCTTCATCTGTAGAATGAGACCATGGGACTGGATGTTCCTTTCCGCAACAACAAGCCGCCTGGGGGCCGCCCCTGGCCTGCCCTGCCC